ATACAAGTTTGGACATTTGCTTAGGACTGTTGGTCCAAATTCTTTGAGGGAAGGGCAAATCTGGATGCAGCTCCAGCTAGGAGCAGATATGTTTGCTAGCGATTGTGACTATGGTAGTGTGATGAGTGATAGCTTTTTGACTTGTCAAAGCCTTGCCAATTTAAGCCCCCTTCGTAACTGCCTTGGCAGGAAAATTAAAGGTCTGTGCCAAACAAATCTGCAAAGGTGGTTCTCTGATCTTCTCCGGGAGTCTTGCACATCGCCCCCTTCCCCCAACAKCTTTAACAGTCCTACCCATCTCATAGACTATGATATGTAAAGCCAAATGTTGCACGTTCCGCATCTGAAGCTGCTCTGAAAACATAAGGTGCTTATTAGCTGAATTAAAATGACGCCTTTTTAGTTGATGCTAAACCATAGACATACACTTTGAGGCTTTCTGGCTACATGATTGACTTGACCTTTCACCCAAAAGATAAAAATGGCACAGATTGCTGCACAATTTTTTTTTTATAAAAGCTTCTCTTGGTGTAACATAGAAGCCATGATTATAACATGGTAGGCGTATGAGAGGAGTTCACATTAGTTCCCCTAGTTACATGGGAAAGGACCCACTAACATAGTGTTAAAAGTACAAAACAGAAAACTAAATATGCAGCAGATTCCTGATAAACCAGGAGCATATGTCTCTGGACTTCTGGGAATCCCCAAGTCTGGACCACTTCTTGAACATATGATAAGAATGCACAGAGAGTATGACAGCCTTAGTGATGTCATAGCTTTGGGTTGCCAATGAAAAAGTATTAGTAATTTTAGCTAAAAGTCATTAAATCTTTATACTTCATTTTCTCTTTACTTCCCTTATAAGCCTCAAGTATTGGCTCCCTTTTCAAGACTACTTTTGGCTAGGAAACTAAGTATTTTTATCACTTCATAAAAATAACTGCATAAATGTCACCAGCAAAGAGCCACAAAGTCCCCTTGGGATGAAACTCCTGGGCAGCTAGCTAAGCTCAGTGCTGGTCTCACAGGGCAGCTGACTCAAATCCCTGCCTCAGAAAAAGGTCAAGTTATGACATGTCACGGCCATTCCAGCTTACCTTTCAAAGAGTGGAAACATTAATCAAAACCTTGGGATTCAGGTGTCTATTATGTGGAGTATGAGCTAGAGATAAGACTGGAAAGAAACAGCAAAAGAATAACATGGCTATTTATGATTATTAGTGAGTTCTATTGTTTTTATTATAGCCTTTTAACTCATCACTGTTTCCAAGTTAGCATTGAGAATCAGAAAAAAAGCCAGGAAAACATAAAAGTTATTTTGATAAGAACAGACCAGATGTCAATCATCTCTTTCACCTCAAGAATCACTGGATGGACTAAATTATAACCATGGCAGCTGTTGGATGTCATGGGTAAGTGTAAGAAAGGGAAATAATTGGGGTAGAGAAAGGAACAACAACAACAACAACAACAACAACAAAAACAGAAACAAAAACCCAAGATGGAAAAGCAAAGAAAAAAGGAGAATGAGAACCCAAACCAAACCTGACAAATGGTAAGATGGAAAGATGGAGAGATGCCTCTATTTATTCTAGAGATTCTTCATGCCAACGTGATCTGTGCCTATCTCAGATCTCTATGACTTAGGACAATTCCCAGTTGTTCATATATTTAAGAGATTTGTGAACTTCCTAAAACTAAAATATTGACTGATACTTAACAAACTTAATGAATATTCAGTTTGAAGTTAGAAGGGGCCATGGACACAAGAACAAGCAGTTATTTAAAAAACATTTTGGCATTCTGTTATTGAAAGGCTTTATGTTATGCATAAGACCACAGTATGGAAACCTGATACCAATGGTATGTACTAATAAAATTTGATAAATGATTTAAAATACAACTTTTACTTATTATAAAGCAAAATAATGAGAACWATGAAGCTATTTTGGTAAACACAAAAAGTGAAATCAGGGATATGCTACTGATGTTCATAAACAGTTTATTTCTGCTTTCTTTTGGTTTTAGAGGTATATAATAAGAAGATTATTATTATCACCACAGAGAAGTGGTTGCTAACAGTAACAGTTTTTACAGCTCCTTTGCAATCTTAGAATATGTAATTTTGTAATGAAACAGAAATAATGGAAGAACTTAATGAGAACAAAAAGAATTTACTTTGCTAGAATATTTTTCCAATTGCTATTAAAGTTTTTTTTTACAATTTAACAGCTTAAATCAGTGAAAATCAGTTGTTCAGTATGTTTGAATTTATCTTTTTTGAGTTATTGTTTTAAAATACATAAAATGAAACTTAATGAAGCAACAGAACAGGTTCTGTGGGCAGTGTTTGWAAAACCAATAGTTGAATGTATCAAACAACTCTTTCCCTTTCACTCCCAACTTGTGGGTAAGAAAACTGAAGTCCAGAAGGGTAAAGTGATGTAAAACTAAAGTTGTAAACTTAATTATTTAGTGTTATCTTTGCTGTTCATAATACTTCTTGGTCTTGAAAGAGAATAAGCTTGGCTCTCTGAATAGCATTTTCCTTCTAAATACTAGAAGAGACCAAAAATCTCAGTATACACAGAAAATGAGCAAATATCTCAATAATAAAATTCTCATAAGGTTGCAAAATATGTAGCTTTGTACTAAGAATGTCTATGCATTTTCTTTGSAGAGTTTCTAATTTTGGACACAAAAATGTTGGTTTTAATGTCATTGTGTCACCCTTGATTTTACCAACAGACAGTTGAGCCTGTAGTTAGCAAACAGTTCTTTGAGGGTTTAATTCTCTCCATCCAGAGCAGACCTATTAAAGAGTCTCTTCCATCTACTTTTCCCAGACCCTTCCTTCACTKCAAGTATGCAAAAGAGATCCATTAATTCCATAGTAATTCTTAAAGTACCTCAACCCCAGGGTAGTATATTTCCATTTCCCAAAGCAGTTTTTCCTTCAGCCTCTCCCACTGGTAAGTCTTAATTTTTACAGCTTTGTCTAATTACTTCTTCAGTAAAAAAGCAGCTTCCTGACATTTGCCTATGACTTACTTTTTCATTTTCCTTTTCTCACTTTTCTTTCTACTACTTCTTTTTAAGTAGCCACCTGTCCCAACATTTATACATGTGCTGTATTAGATGTTTTAAAATAACAAAAGGAAAAGCATAAATTGTACATGCAGACGTCTTCCAATGTACCCTTTTGCTTTTGGTTAATAAKAAATGGGCCAAAAATGTTCATCCCACAGAGAAGAGTGGGTAAAAATCAGATGCCAGAAAGAATGAGTGCATTTTTTTTCTGGTCATAAAGATTTCTCTTCAAATTCTTAACAAAATGCTTTTAATTCACAATTTTCTTCTGTGGTCATTTCTTCACTGAAGTTTTTTACCTAGTGGGGAAAACTTTATATAATAGTAGAGAATTAATTCTTCATTTCTCCTAGAAATATACATATGAATTTTAATGGAAAAGTGTTGATAAGACTTCCAATGTCTGTCTATGGCTGAGTTGGCCTGTCTAAATTGAGATAAATATGCTTTTTACAAACTAGTCTTCCAATTACAGGTATGGATAAAATTTTTTAATAGGACAATTTTTACATAGCTTCAATTGCATGGGGTTATAATTGTCATAGCTAAAAATATATCAAATGCTTGACTATTTCCAAAATAAAGAAATCAAAGCAATTTTAACACCTTATTTAGTTTTATATCATATTCAACTTTTAATATAGAATATTCTGGTGTAATATGAAACTAAATTAAACTTCACCTAAATTATAAAATATCTATCCTTTCTGTTTCTTTAACAAGTTCACTTTTATGAGGCAGATAATACAGTTCCTACAAGTTAATTAGTAATAGCAATTTCATATCACCTAGAGAATTCAGAATTCATGAGCATAAGGTAGAAAGATGATAAGAACATAACCTTTAAAAAGTTAACAGCAGAAAACAAAACCATATTACTTACAGCCCCAAAATAGAGTGATTTGCATTGGCATTGCTCATGTACTAGTAACTATTCAAAGTTTTCTTTGTATGCATTATAATTAGTAAACTTTGATTTAAAAATTTACATTGCAGTGTTTCTCTGGAAATCCAAGGAGTTTGGATAAGGATAGTTTACCTTTTGGTGTTCTAGATAACTTTCATAGGGAAGAATTTTCTATGTCCTCTCTAATTAATCAAGCATGAATGAACTATTACTAAAGAGACTTCCTAGAAAGAGTTGCAGGTGTTAAGGCAAATGTACCATCATGACAAGTTTCTCGACCTGCCCTTCCATGATTACTCATCATTTGAGATGTTTCATTGGCCAGGCTAAATCTTGATCCAGAAAATAATCTGAAGGCCAATTGGGGTTTCCAAAAAAGCAAACAATGATGTGTGAAAGTGTTAAGTGTTTAAATACTTAAAGCTTCTAATTAAAAAGACTTTTTAAAAAATATGACCTTGGAAATATGTTCTGCTTTCCATTTAGCAAAGGCTGAATTTGTTCAAAGGTAGCAGAACTCTTCTAAGGCTGGTTCTGATTCTAATTAATCAGTGTGGACCACCTACCTACAGGTGAGAAGGAGCCAGCTATGACCCTGAAACATGGTCTGTAATGATCATGTCCCTGATCAGGGACAGAGAGAAAACAGAAAGATCCTGACAGCATTGTGCCAGCACATTGGTTAAGAACATCAAATTGTTCATTGGCCTGGATCTTGTCTGAGGAACAAGGAATTGGAATGAAAAGAAGTCAGAAGAGAAGATGACTCCAAAGAGTGCTTCACCTACTACCTTACAAAAGGAAAAGTCCACAGACCCTGAGATGACTTCACACAGCAACAGGAGCAGGAGCACAGGGACTAATGACACAAAACTAGAAAGGGACACTGGATAGCAGCACTGGTCATTTTATTTTTGATTTAAAACTTCATTTGAATTTGAGAAGCTTACTTGGGATCTGATTTATGTTTATGATAAATAAACTAGTAAATGTGACTGACCTGGCTGGACAAGGATCCAAGTTACACTCCTGAAGCTTGGGTTTGGGTTTGATGTTCTCTGGGTAATAGTGACAGTACTGATCTGCAACCACACGGTTGCTCCGGAGATCATAACACTCAGCCGATGTCAGCTGGTAACCTGCAAGGATCAAACCAACCGGGCAAATTTAAAGGCACATACCAAGGCAATATATTGCTTTATGTGTTTTGGCCATCTCACATTAGTGGAAATTATTCTCCAATGCCCCAGTCATTTCCAGGAAAAAAGACACATAATTGGAAAGCTCATTAATTTTTGTAGCCCCTAAATACTTTTTTTTCTTCAAGTAATCCACTCACTGTAATAATTAAATTATATTACAGAGCTTGAATTACATGAGGGCATAGTCAGATTATAAGGCTCTATAAAAAGAGAAGAACTATTCCTTTTATTTCTTTTGTATAATAAAAAAATTAAACATAAACTTTCATATCCAAAAAACACCATTGGTATTTATTTACCAATCTTATGCAAGGATGTCTAACTTCCCCCCTAGTACCTATAACACCAGAAAAAATAAACTCTTACATAAATAAATAAAATATATCTCAACATCTCCTGCCCCTTGGACCATGGGGTTCAATGGAGCATAGCATAGGGTCAGATTCTGCCAGGTGCCAAGGAACACAATTTTTGCCTAAATTCAACCTGAATGGGTTGAGCTGAGTAAGTGGACAATTAAGATCCCTACAATAGCCACCATTAACCTGTTTCTTTACAGAACTACAAAAAAAAAAAAAGACAATCAAATGAAAATTCTCTTCCTGTTTAATTTTTGCCTTCTCCAAAATCTGTTGCCATTTCTCTTTAAATTAAGTCTCTAGTCGTTATTTCTTAGTCTCTATCTGCACTGTTTAGAGAAGCCTCTTTTAAAATAACATTTTATTGGTACATTATAATTATATATAGCTATGGAAATGATTGTGGAGAAGCCTCTTTTTAAAAGTTGCTGAGTAATAGTTTTATTATCATGTGTTATCTTTTCTACCTGCCTTGTAATGTCCTGTGCATCTCTCATGGGTGGCGATCAAGACTTAGATTCCTGGGGTGAAAAATAAATGTACACAGACTTAAAAAATATTCATATCATTCTAACCCTAATCAACCCTTCAAGTATATCCTCCCTGGTCAGTAGTTGAATCCTGTTATTGCTAAACATGTATCAGGAAGCAATATTTAAATTGTTAAGGGACTTGCAAAAGATTTTAGGAAATCAGAAGGAGACTTTTAAGCCAGATTTCCTGGCTTGAGGCAGTGTTCTCAGACCACCCACAAAAATTAATTGTTCATTAAGGACCTAAAAAAAGACCTAAAAAAAGATCTTTTAAAATTCTATTGGAAAGATGAAAAGCATGGAAAGTAATGAAAGCAATGGGTAAGAACACATGTTCCACCACACTTTTTGCTTTATAAGAAAAATCAAGTAGCAAAATGATATTTTAGATGAGTAAACGTATTTTTATTTTTCAAATCCATTGTACTACAAAGCAGCTAATTTTATGACAAGGTAAACACATTATAATTTATATACCTGGCAATTTATGCTCAAGGGCAGAATTTATCATGCAGCAAATGTGGGGACAAACAATAAAATTATAAATCTGAGATTATGATTTTCAAAACCATAAATTGCCAACCTAAACCCAATGCTTTGAAGATAATATAGTGCATATGAAGTGAAAAGTTAGAATGAAAATGGAATCATTTAGCAGAATGGTCAGATGACTATGTTTTCTGGAGTTTCACAAGTATCTTGGAATAGAAATTCTTTACATTGGGCAAAATGAACAACCAGCTGAATCTGGAGTGAGAAGTAGRGAAGAGAACTTAGAGATCATTTCTTTTGTCATTTTCAAACTGGCCTGTGAAATAAGAGAAATGCAGATCTCCACAGCCTGCACAGCTTCACTGAGAGAAGTTCTCCTTTTATCTGGGCTTCCTGAGTAAGATTTCCTTTGAACAAAGCATTTGATATTTGAAAACATTTGAAAACACTTAGAGTTCTGTTTCTTCACTTAAATGTGAGCAAAACTAGGCCAAACRGATTGGGTATATATGAATCTAACACTGATTGCCTTATTTTATACTGAGCTATTGTCAAGGTTATTGAAATTATACCCTCACAGCAGCTCTATGTGAACCTGGTGTCGTGTGCATATAATTGAATTGCTCTTTCTCATAAAGCATGGTATTTGTTTAGAAAGAAAAAAAAAWTTATTTCCTTAGATTGCTTTCTTTGAAACTCTTTTCTATGGCAATTATTAATAAATATGTCAAAATAATGGCTCCCCAAGAAGCATCAAAGCAATTGACAGATTATTTTTAAACAAAGCAATTTTCTATTCAGGATAGATAGAGCAACCACAAAAGCGATTCAATTGAAGTGCTTAAAATGTTGAGTCAGTAGTTATTTAACAATTGAATATAGGCACTTGATGGCATTTTGACTTACTACTTTTAAGCTAAAATCCAACACTGCTCTGTAGAACAGTATTTCTAGTGGTTTGTTCACATGGTATGTATGGAGACAGTTAAAGGTGAACTACCTCATATATTCTTACTGTCCCCCCAAAAATTGAATTATTGTTTGTCTCTATTTTGTAGTATCATCCTTTTATCTCTTGCCTAACTAATTTAGTGATGCTTATGTTGATAAACTATTTAAAGTCAGTCATTTGAAGCTAGGGTGGAATGTATTTGATATGCTAATTTTCAAAGATATATATATTATATATATATTATATATATAATATATATATATATCCATATATATATTATATATATGGAAAACTTAAAAAGATAATCTATAAAAGTTGGCAGTTAATCCAAAATATTCACATATTGCTTGTTGCCTTTCAGAAAAGAGTTTGGTAATATATGCCAATAGGCCCCAAATTTCTGAAACTGCTTTATCTAGTGTCCTTACTGTTGAGCACTTATCCCAAGAAAATCATCTAAAAGAAGAAAAATACTTAAGAATGAAGTTATTCATTATGTAACAATAGTAGGAAGATTTAAATGACCTAATTGATTTATTATAGGGAAATGACAACATAAATTACTATAAAATAATGCAGAGCAAATATTATATAGTCAGGTAAAGTATAAAGAACAGAAAATGGGAGAGAAAAACAAACAAAACAAAACATTTTCCCATAACACAAAATACCATTCATGATTCAGTTGTGATAGAGTGGAGACAGCAATTCACTTCCTGAGTTTTCAGAAGAGATGCATTTTAATTAATATATAAAGTCATGGCATTCCTTTTAATGCATGGGGTAGAGCCAAAAAATGACTGACCTTAAGTCAGCAATATTTTTGTTCTGGTAGTAGACTATTTCCTCTAATCAAGTCACCTTGACAAACGCTCTTCACTTGATCCCTGAATAAATGACATCTACTCAACCAGAAGTGCCTTAGGACAACACTGCTGCCAAATTATTGTGGGCTTTCCATGAAATCAAGGAAGGAAGTGGGGACTGCTCCCTCTCATGGGTATCTGCAGAAGGAGATGTGTGTGTGGCATCTCCACTGAGGTCTGCCCTACAGGAGGGCTTCAGGATTTGTCTCCATTGAGAAGAAGGGATTGGGTCCACCCAACAGTCCATTTCTTCCATGCAGAAGTTATTCCACTCTTATAATAGTCAGCTGCTGCTCTCAGAAGCCCATAGTGTCTAGGTTAAATCAACACCATTACCTCCTCCACAGGTTGCTGAGCAGGGGAAGAAATCCGTCTCCCTCCACCGGTGGATGATAGGCTGGTAGAAGATGAACTGGACCGTGCTATCTGTGGGCCCTGAGTCACGGATCTGCAGGAGACAACAGGAAAGTTGAAGAACTAGCGTGCCAGGGTGGTGCTTCCTGGATCCCAGAACAACTTTGGATGAGGAGGGACTGAAGGTCTTGGGCTATGTGAGGAACTGCCTTGGGACAGAAGTGGCAGTGGTAACTTGGCTTATCTTATCACACAACCAGCAAATGGCTCTTGCTTAGGTCACCACTGTCCTTACCTTCTCAGTTCTGTTGCCATAAAAATAAAGGATGGTAATGGTAACATCTCAATTTGTGATTCTGCCACCATGTTATCTCAAGCCAGCATTTTCATTCCATATATATATATATATATATATATCAAGTAAAATCATGTGCATTTTAAAACATAGGCTGGGGAATAAACAATTTGCCCTAAGAAAATTATAAATGCCAGACACTGCCCCAAATGAAAGATAAATGTCTGTGGTTAAGAAAAAAAAAAAAAAAACCTCAAGAATTAATTCAGACACATTTAGGAGGCTTCTTATCAATTTGGTGACTTATATATTTAAATGTACAAAGCTACCAGCTGGAAACTTGCTAAAATGCAAATTCCTGGGCCCAAGCCCAGATAACCAGGCAATTCAAATGTAGTTTAAGAACCAAACATTAAAAACCCCAATTTATATTATAAAAACAATTACTCTCAAATAAGATTGGTGCTAATGGAAATCACAACTCCTTATTTTAAAAGGGGGAATGTGAGACAAGAATTCTTTAATGACTCTTAAAAGTATAAGGTTGAGAAAACATTCTCAAACTGAAAGAGAAGGAAAAAGTACCTAACATGAACAATTAATCTCATGAAGACAGAGTGACGCGCCCTATGATATTTAGACTGTTGGGCAAGACTTGGACTATTTATTGTACTAAAGGGAGTTCCAYGGACAATTGAGAGGATCACTCTTTACCCCGCTACATTATAAATAAAGAAGTATCAAGTGCAGCTGAATCACATGGCCTGTCTTTGTTAAGCRTTTCTAAGCTTTCTCAGTGTTCCAACTCCTTTTATGTAGGGTAAACTGATGGATCTTGCCCTTGGGTTATTTTAAAGATAGCCCACTTCTCTGCTACTGATCTTGACATGTGGACTAAACACCTAGGATGTAAGAGAAATAGGAATACTGAAGAAACAGGGCCAAGAAAAATTGGTAAGTGCCAAACTCTAGGTCAGCTTTTAGAATTTGGATGGGAATATGGAAATATTCCTCAGAATGCCTAGGACTGCTAGTGAAGAAAAAAAAAAGAGGGAAGAAAACCTACTGATCATCTCATAGAATACTGCAGCTGATTCACAGAGCACTCTAATTAGAATAGACAGTGATCCAATTCCTTTCTTTAAAACGAAAACAGCGGACCTAGAAAAGGGTATCTTAGGGATACAGAATTGTAGAATTAATAACATTCTTTAGAAAATTTTTCTTTTTCAGCTCACAAAAACCCCTAGCTCTCTTGACATGTGTGGTTATCATACTTAGAAAGCTACTGCAGCCTCTTGGAAAAAAATGAAAATATCAGAAAATTCATTTAAACCCGGAGACACTATTCCCTGCTATGAGTCCCTTTCACAATGCTAGAAACTGAGTCCTAAGAATGTGTGTGGGGGTGGGGTGGGGTGGGCATCATCTCTTTATAGCCAAAGCCAGGAGGATGGAACATCACCACGTTTGGAGAAGCTTCATTCTGGGACCAGTGCTTGCCTTTTGGTCTGGTTAAAGGCAAAAAGGTGGAGCAAGTAATTTTTTGGCTCCCTAGAGGTTACCAATAGAAGCCTAAGAGGAAAAAAGGGATGAGGAGGAGAGTTGGTGTTACTGGGAGGGCTAGCAAACACCATGTCGAAGGAAAGAAAATAAGCTGGTTGGGAAGAATATTGCTCTTAGTAAGTTCTGTAAAAAGAACCATAAATTCTGAGGCTGTATGCTTACATTTGAAGAGATTAGAAATGAAAAAGGATCTCTTTATTTATTAGAAATGTAAAAGGATCTCTTTATTTATTTTGAGGATTGAATCCAGAGGACATCTACCACTGAGCTGCAACTCTAGTCCTTTATATCTTGAGATAAGGTCTAGTTAAGTCATGGAGGCTGGCCTAGAATTTGTGATCTCCTGCCTCAGCCTCCCAAGTTGCTGGAATTATGGGTGTGCATGACCTGGCTTGGATTGGGACCTCTTTATTTTAAATAGATAAAACCAGTCAGGAGGTGTCTGAATCGCTGGCCACATAATCTTGCTTGATTTTGGTCACATGGATAACATTCCTGGTTTCCCCTTCTCTATAATCACATTCTTTCTGTAACAATAACAGTAACAAGCAGCACTTACTGTATGCCTACCACATGTGAGGTATATTTTATTTACATTAAATCTAACCTTAAAACTGTATTATATTATTTTCCATATTTAAGTTGAAATGGGAAAAATTAGGCTCAGAGAGTTTCAGTGACTTATTGAAGGCCACACAGCTATGGAATAGAAAGATGGTTCTACATAGCTCTAAAGCTGCCAATCTTTTCATAGTTTCATGCAATCTCCACAGTGGTATTGTGATGATACATACACATTTATCTTTAGTTGTATTCTTGCATCTGTCTTCATAGTATTTTCTTAATTTTTCATTTTAAAGTAGAAACAAATCCTTAAAATAACAAAGGTGAGGCCAATCTGATGTCTAACTCTGAYGGCCAAATATTATTCATGTCAATGAGCTTGCCATGCTCCTTTCCTCTGGTTTTCTTAATTCTGGCCTGTTTGGCCCCTTGTTATCATTAGTTCTGCACCTTCATAAACTCTGAATCCTCAATCATCATGTGCTAATTCTCAAGAGTATGCTGAAAGCTTCAGTTTGACACCTTAGAATGTTGGTGTAAGGAGCTGAACACATCTGGCATATGTAATTTTGACCTCCCTATGCTAATAAGAAAAAAGAAGTTCTGAACCAAGCTTTTCTCATAATTACAATGTCTCAGTGTTTCTACTGCAATGTAATGACATCTCACCTAAAAGCAGATGAGAAGACTAAAATTGGCCCCCGTCAACAGCAATTGATTGCATTGTCAAGGGAGAGCTGGAAGACAGTGGGAATGCGTGTGTGTGGCCCAGTTCAATCAAAGGAACCAAGGAGAAATAAACACATGAGGACATTAGCAGGTACACGATGGCTTTCCCAGATAAAGGTCAGCAAAAGCATTTTTCTTCTCTGTTGAGTAAAGGGCAATTTGTGAGCTTCTGGTTACCCAACTAAATTGCTTTCTCTTACTGATATTGTAGACATTTCTGCCCCAGGGAGGCAGGTGGCAAGGGTGCCCCTAATCCACCATGGCTGTAGTTCAGTCGCTGCTCTGATGAGAGCAGGCGGGCAAAGGGAAGCATAGGTGACCCACTACCGTGTATCCTCAGGGCTGACTTGGTGACAGTGCTCTCAGGGCCACCGATGGTCTAGTCTAGTCAAGTCTGTCTTAGTCTACTGTAAAGGGCTTGTAAAAATGCCAGTTATTACTGGGATGAAGTATAGATTCTATCAACCTACTGTTTGGAATACCTGATCATTTTAGCAGTTGGACATACTAAGGTTAGAGATTATTAGATAAAAATGATATAAAAGTTGTGAGTATTCAATTTCCCCTTTGTGCTGAGTTTTCTAGTCCTCCTAGCACTCTAGACCTCAGTTAAAAATATACTGCAGTTCAGCCCATAGGCCTACAGTTCAAGAGAGGTGTTGGTTATGGCTGAAGCTGCCCAGGACCCTGGGCAATAACACAGTGGACCAGAGATGTCTCTTTGGGAACAACAGATGTGCCGTTTGTAAGGAACTAAGAAGGTGGAAAAGATGGGCCAGGAAGGAAATGCTGAGAAACAGAGCAGACCAGATCCTGGAAAGACTATCCTAGTGCTCAGATGGAGGAAGCACAGGAGCAGAGCAAGCCAGCCAGCAGGACTGCAGAGGGGTCTGCACTCTCAGCAGGAAAAAAACAAGTACTCCGCTCTCTGGCTCTGTATCTCAAAGCTGGCTGTGAAACCCAGAAARAAACCTAGAGTCCTGGAATCTCAGTTCTAAACTCTTGGAACCTATCAGCAAAAAGGGGAATCCTGAATGGAGGAATCATTACGTGTAAAAGTTGTGTAGGAAAATGAATCACTACTTACCTTTATTTCTTTGCTTTCCTACCACTGATTTCAACTTTTACCCTCAAGAACCCTCGCTTTAGGACAATTATTTTTTCCCTTTAGGAGCACAGGTTAAATGGTATGAGGAGACCATCTGGAACAGGCTGGATAGCAGGGCAAAACCAATCAGGGCTTAAAATTTTGCCAAAGCTTAGCCTCCACTGGAGGAAAAAATTGGTTATTACAATATTACTCAAGATTCACAGGCTGCCCATTTCTCAGAATGCTTTCTAATCACCTTTAAGCATAGTGAATATCTGAATATCTGTAGCTTTTACCACCTGCCCTTTTTACTTCAGCACTCAATTATATACATTATTATTTCAAACTTCTCTATTCAGTCTTTTACTTCCCAAATGACATTGTAAACTAAGAGAGGGAAGATATCATATAGGACAGTCAATCAGCCCTAAGTATCAAAGTTCTTTCACAAGAAGGATGGACACAGACACACACACACACACACACACACAAACACACACACACACAGAGAGAGAGAGAGAGAGAGAGAGAGAGAGAGAGAGAGAGAGAGAAATTCCATAAACTTACTGGCAAAGTAAAATTTGAACTCTCATTACTTTGCTGATGTTACTTCTTTCAAGGCTTCTCCTCATAATTCTCCTAATAATAATAAAAAGACCTTTTGGAGCTGGGCACAGTGGCACACACCTGTAATCCCAGTGACTCAGCAGACTGAGGCAGGAGGATCGTGAGTTCAAAGTCAGCCCCAAACTTAGCAAGGCCCTAAGCAACTTAGCAAGACCCTGTCTCAAAATAAAAAATAAAAAAGGGTTGGGGATGTGGTTCAGTGGTTAAGTGCCCTGGGTTCAAT